CCAGTGTGAAATTGGCTTCAGCCTTCCAGCAGGAGCTTGTTCACGTGCCCGAGATTTACCTTGACCTGGAGTGGAAAAGGTGCCCATAATGTGAATATGTTTTTCCAGAAAATCCATTTTAGCCAAGCTGAGTATCCAGGAACATCACTAGGGAGGAGAGAAAGACATCTCCGAAGCCCTTTGAAGGTGAAAAATAATTCCGTAGGAAGTACAGTGATCTTAATTAAATATTAGCTGTAATTAGCCCAAAGTGCAAATGTTGGGAATATTAATTAGGGTTCCTCTGGAATGACTGTCAGTATTAATAAGTAACCATGTGGGGTCCCACCAACATCTGTTTGAGAACTCCAGGAACGGGAGTGCATCCCAAGTTCTATGGACTTGAATGCTACCTGGAGGTTCCCTGGCTACCATGGACGTCATCTCTAGAGGTGGGCACCCGTGGTTTGCCAGAATGGCATAAGTTTTGGTAGAGGTTGGTGGTTTGCCCTGGCTCCAGTGGTGCCCCTACTTGGCCCTTGCCCTTGGCCCTTGTAGCCTCAGAGCCTTCGGAAGCCAGGCTTTGGGCTTGAGGTGGCAGAAGTTTCCCAGGCTGCTGCTCTAACACACCAAGGGTTACCCCTCGCCTCCCCCAGTCTGGCTACTGGAACCCTGGCCTCTTTGAATCAAATACCCTAGCACCTGACTTCCCCACAGGGTGTAACCTGCTACCAGGTGGAAAACAGGTCTCAGGGTCACGGTATACATGACAGAGAGCAGTTTATTTATTTAAAATTGGAAACGCATCTCCCCACCAGAGATCTTCTTTCCAGATGAGGGACACCTTGGCGTGGGATAAACCCGGGCTCTGGTTCAGCTCTTGGCTTCCCTCAGAGGTACTTGTGACTGCAACCTCGTAATATTATTTACCAGCTCTGGGCTACAGTATCCTTCACAACAAAATAAAGTGGGATCAGAGGTGCAGTGCATGCAAAGCAGAGAGTCTAGACCTTGGCACTATTAACCTTTGGGCCAGATAATCCTTGGTTGTGGAGGGGGTGCTGTCCTGTACACTGTAGGATGTCTAGCTGCAGCTCTGGCTTCCACCCACTAGATGCTGGTGGTATCCCTTCCTACTCAGTTGTGACAAACAAAAGTGTCTCTGGTCATTGCCTAATGTCTCCTGGGGATCAGTCACCCTGCTAAGGACTCCTGATGCAAAGCATGCAGCACTGTGCCTGGTGCCTGCTAGGTCTGAGTGTCACTCAGTTTGTTTTCTGAGTTCTGGTTTGGAGAAGAGGATGCCTTTCAGATGGAACACAGAAGTCTGAAGCCATCATAGGTCTTCGCACAAGCCCACTTCTGAGTTTGAAGCACGTGTGTATACAATGCAGAGACCTGGTGATGGAAAGCATATTCTGAAAAAGATTCTACTGCACCTTTCTTCCACCATCCTTAAGGTCTGGCTGAGCCACCCCCTCCTTGGTTTAGGTAGAAGGCACCCCCTTTCCCTCCCTACTTCACCACCAACTGTATTTCCTGCCCAAACTATCTGTGCAACAACAGCTGTTTTGTTTTTTTTTAACATCTTTATTGGAGTTTAATTGCTTTACACTGGTGTTAGTTTCTGCTTTAAAACAAAGTGAATCAACTATACATATACATATATCACCATATCTCCTCCCTCTTGCATCTTAACTGATGTCCCCATATTTCATGATAACTCTGCCACAATGATTAGAAAACTTTTCCTGCAAAGGGCCAGATAGATAAATAGTTTAGACTTTGTGGGCTATATGGTCTCTGTCAGAGCAACTCAACTCTGCCATCAGAGCACAGTGACCATGGTTGTGTCCCAATAAAACTTTATTTACAAAAACAAGTCACAGGCCAGATTTCTTCCAGGGTTCGTTTGCTGATCCCTCTCCCATCCCCCCACCCCCATCCTGTTGCCAATGAAGCCTGACAGAGCCCAGAGTCCACTAGCCAAGCATGCATTCACTTAGCAAACACCGGTGTATGTTGACTTCGCAGCCAGCGTGCTGCTGAACCCTGGAGATGGAACAGGGAATGTGACACAGTCTCCCACCCTCAGGACGCTCACAGGCTAATCAGCAGGCGACAGCGGTACCTGGAGTTGCGTGGGAGGTGACCACAAGCTGCAGTGTAGAGGGCAGGCAACTGATGTAGCTTAAGTGTCAAGGAAGACTTGCTGGCAAGCTCTTGATCTGGGACCTCAAAGAGAAGCCAAGGAAGGCTAGCCAGGGAAGGGAGTAGGGGAGGAATTCCCAAGCAGAGGAGGCAGTGAACAGGATGGTGTCGAGAGGATGGAGAGACCACAAGCTTCCTGAGGGCAGCCCTTCCCGCTCCAGTACAGAGAGAGGTCAGATCCTAGCAAGGAGCTGTTGCTGTTTTGCAGCTTGTAGGATTGGTTCACTCCTCCTGAGACTGTTTTGCAGTGAGGAAAGGCCATGTGGGCATATATGTACCCGTGGAAGTGTTTCTACTGAAGGTGGAGAAAGGAAAGCTTTGTCTTTTATGACCATCTCTCTCTACCATTGATCCTGTGATCATTTCATGCTCCCCTGGAGTTTTCACAAGTCTGTCTTTCAATTCAGAGACAAGCGAGGTGGGAGGTAGGGGAGGCTGAAACGGACCTTTGGGCAGAAGTGGAATCTGTCCCGGTGATTTTCTCTTTGGAGCGTTCTCAAGGTCCCAAAGTTTCTAGGGTTTCTTGTCAGCCAGAAAGAAGTAGCATCTGTATGGACTTTTCTGTGCACAAGGATGTATTCCTTGAGCAGCCCTGTAGAAGAGAAGAACGCTAGTCAGCTCATATACAGAAGAGGATTTTTTCTGGTATTAGTTAAGACATTTTCGGTTGCAAGTAACGGAAAGGCGGGCTTACACTAAATAAGACATTTACTGACTCATGAAACTTAAACAGCAGTGTTACTCACTGCAGGAAAAGCTGGAACCAAGACTTCAAATGATGTCAGCAGGACTCAGTTGATCTGTTTCTCCATTTCTGGGCTCCGTTTTCCTCTGTGTTGGCTTCTGCTTTAGGGAGGCTCCCTTCAAGAGGCAGTTCTTGGCAGCTCTAGGCTTAACATTATTTTTCCAGCTGCCAGTCATCGAAGTGAAAGAACTTCCTCCCCAAACTCCAGCCAAGTCCCAGGATTAAGCCTCACTGGAGTTGCTAGGGGTTAGGTAGATGGGCATAAGCCCAAGTCACTGTGACCATTAAGAGTGGAGCCCTCTGGTTAGCCAGGCAGGGTAACATGACCACATCTAGAGGTAACCAGAGATGGGCCCAGCCACATCTGCACAATGTGGGGACTGGGAGTGAAAGTGGCCCCTAAAAGGAAACCGGGCTTGTCCTGGAAGAGGAGTGAACAATGAACGGCAATGACAGTAAATGTGGTTTCCCAAGGACGGACGCGGTTAACTTTCCACGCCGGTCGATGCAACCCCAGCACAGACAGACCCGTTCAGCCCCAAGTGCTATGAAAACACGTTGCCAAGAAAGAAACGGCTGTTTATTTTTGCTTCCTATGGCACAGACATTTGGAGAAATTAGTCTGGGGGAGGAAAGGGCCTGAGGGGAGTGTTTTCACTTGTAAAATGTTTTAAACTTATCCTAAGTGTCGTTCTCTTCCAAGTGTCATCTTTAACATTCCAATTAAGGTTCCTTCTAAACAAATGCACCAGCTCCTTGCACTGCTCTGAGAATAAACTTTTTTCCCCCTCTCTGTCATAATGGTTTTTGCTGCACTCAAGTTGCTTTGGCTGAAGAAGCTCTCAAATGTTGGTGGCGGGAACCCAGGAGATGTGAGCAGTTCTGACACTTCTGCCCTGGTATCGTTATAGGAGGGCTGAAGTCACATCTCACTGACCACAGACAATGGGAGACGCAGCTATTTGGTGTGCTTAATTGCTAAGCTTTCTCTCTCTCTCTCTCTCTCTCTCTCTCTCTCTCTCTCTCTCTCCTCTTTCTGACTGCGCGATCCCATTTCTTCTTAAGACCATGGAAAATTTAGACCTTTGGGTTACAGTCCCTGATGCCTTGTGTGTGTGTGTGTGTGTGTGTGTGTGTGTGTGTGTGTGTGTAGGGTAGTAAAGTTATGGGAGTCCAGGTGGAGAGAGAGAGAGATGCTTCCTAAAATGGAAGCATTTGAATTCTTTTTTTATTCTTTTGACTTGCCTATAAGTATCACACTGCATGTTTTGCCTAGATGTGAAGGGCGAATTGTTACATAATACTCTGCTTATAAAAAAAATAATAAGTCAGGGAATGGGAGTAGGCATTGATTAATGAGGCTAAGAATTAAGTCCAGCATTTTGCAGAGATACTTAAAATGAGACAATCACAGAAGGCCATCTTTGTCCAAATTAGGCCCTGAATTTTCATCAGCCGCTTCATGTTGGCACTGGGAACATCGAACACACACACACACATACACACACACACACACGCACGCACGCTGTGACCATTGCAAGGACCACCACCCCCGTCCCATTATGTGAGCCAAATCACATAAAATGTTGATTAAATTCAAATGCTTACATGAATTGTCTCTCCTCTCAAGAACACACACGTGCAATTTAATCGGTCTTGGCATTTTAAGTACCAAATCAAGGCTCTGCAGTCACCAGCGACAACTACATGCTCACAGGTCCCCAAGCGGGAATGAAATTAGAAAGATCTGCCAGAACAACCCAATCCAGGAGAGCGCATGCCCTCACAGCGTGTGGCTGTTGGGCTGGATGATTGGGAAAGGGTCTTCAACCCTTCAGAGCCTCGATTTCTGCATCTGTACAATGGGGCTCTATCTACAATGCTTACTGTTTCCTTATAGGGTCCAGTGAAGATTGAGCGGGATGTATCCATCTCAGGTTCTTGGCAACCGTGCTGAAACCCACGAAGCATCCGGGGAGCAGTTGTCCTTGTGCCTCGGGGGGAAAGTTTCTGCTTGGTGCCCACTCATGGTTTTCACTCCCTCTCTCTCTTTCCGATTTTCCAGGGTAACCAGGAAGCAGCAGCTGCCCCTGACACAATGGCTCAGCCTTACGCTTCGGCCCAGTTTGCCCCCCCTCAGAACGGCATCCCCGCGGAATACACGGCCCCTCATCCCCACCCCGCGCCAGAGTACACGGGCCAGACCACCGTTCCCGAGCACACGTTAAACCTGTACCCTGCCGCGCAGTCGCACTCGGAGCAGAGCGCAGCGGACACGAGCGCGCACACCGTCTCGGGCACCGCCACAGTAAGTGCGCACTGGCCTCCGGGGGCGCGCTGGGACCCCAGGGTTCCGGGAATGGCAGCGGGGCGCACCGCCGTGCAACTGGTCGGGGTTGGGGGGTGGAGGCTCTCTCCCGCAAAGCAGCCCCTAAGCTCATCCTTGTAATCCCAGCCCCGCCTAGTTCACCTTACCGACGTGCATCTTCTCCTGGCACTGATTTAAATCAACACATTTTCCATTAACCGCGTGTATTTGTGAAGGGAAACGTTTATATCTTTTCTGCTTCTATAGTTTTGCTTTTTCTGGAATTATGTTATCTGAGGGGAATCATACACTATGATTATGAGATTGTGACAATATAATCTTTTTTTTAATGGCTTTATGGAGATACCATTTACATACAATAAAATTCACCTATTCGAGGTGGACAACTCACCGATTATTATTGTATTTACAGAATTGTGCAACTATTGCTACAGTCTAGGAATATTTCCATCACCCCCAGAATGAATCTCCTGCCCATTGTAGCCACTCCCCATTCCCACCCCAGCCCTCCCTAGCCAAATTCGTTGGAAATTCACTCATGTTGTGGCTTGAGTCCCTAACATCGTTTTTATTTCAGAGCTCCCGGGGGTGTGGGTGGCCTAGGCCACCAAGGGGCAGCAGGAGTGAATTTTGCAGGACTGTTCTGCATTTTGATGGTGGAGGTGACACACCTCTATGCACCAAAAAGTCAGATTTATTGCATATGGATGGATGAAATGGATTGAAAACAAGCAAACAAACTGAAAAGAAACCGTTTATCACCACCATCAATAGAAACTAGTATTGCTGGCTATCCATAAAGGACAACCACCCTAAACAAAAATAACGATGAAAATTACACAATGTTTATTTATGTACCACCTAAAATAACCACACACCGTGCATACCGTAAGAGGTATATGTACACTTAGGAAAACTTGTTCTGTGGAATTCTTTAGAAGCCTGGACACATCCAGCCTCTAGTCCAGAACACTTTATAGGTGCAAGGCAATTGGGCCTGTTTCTTCTGCCCTCTGAGAAACTGGTATTTGCGAAGAAGTTTATTGGTTTGAAGCATGATATATTTCTTGTAGCCAAAGCAACCATTGACTAGCTTTGCTACCTGGTACCTCACTGATTTGCAGGTTAGGTTTGGAGATTTTTCAAAATAATGTAAATTTAAAATTTTTCTATTGCTTGTCCTCCCTTATTTATTGTGCCAAAATACATATAACATAAAATGTACTGTTTTAACCATTTAATCGTGTACAATCGGTGGCATTAAGTACATTCACAGTGTAGTGCAGCCATCAGCATTATCTAGTCCTAGACATTTCCATCACCCCAGAAGGAAATCCAGTATCCATTAGGCAGACGTCCTCCATTCCTCCCTCCCGCCAGACCCTGGGAACCACCCGTCTGCTTTATTTCTGCCTGGATTTGCCTATTCTGTATTTTTCCCCCAAATGAGATCATACCATATATGTCCTTTTGTGTCTGTCTTTTGCTTAACAGAATGTTTTCAAGGTTTATCCGTGCTGGAGCATGGATCAGTACTTCATTGTTTTTATATGACTGAATACCATTCCATGATATGGATAGATCCTATTTTGTTTATCCATCCATCCGTTGTTGGGCATTTGGGTTGTTTCTGCCTCTTGGCTATTGTCAATAATGCTGCTATTACCTTTTTAGTATTTGGCTGCTATAACTTAGGGATGGGTTCATTAAATGGGTTTGTGGATTTAGTAGGTGTTTATTGTTGTTGTGTTGACTACCTAGTGATGGAGTTGTTTATTTGTATGCTGGTTGTTTTGTCATAATCAATGGTGTTAGGGCTTGAGAAGGTTATTTTAGGACTAAAAAAGGTCCCATCAGACATCATTTATTAAGCCTCAACATGGACCAACCATACAAACTGCTATGGAAGTTTCATTCATTCACTCACAAATATTTATTAAGCATCTACTCAGGCCAGGACTCATACTTGATGATGTGGTTGAACCAAACATAAATGGTCCTTTCTCTCTTGTAACTTAGTGCCAGAGACAGAGAATAAACATGTAGCAATAAAATAGCTGTATAAACACACATTGTGATACGCGCTCTTAAGGAAAAAACAGGTGCTATGGGAGGCTAAAAAAAGATCAGAGGTACCACTTGTAAATGAGTAGTCTGGGAACATTTCTTCAAGGACATGATATTTAAGGGGAAAAGACAAAGCATCCAGGCAAAAGGAATACCAAGGTCAAAGTTTCCAAGGTTGGAAAGAGCTGGGCTTATTCAAAGAACTAAAAAAAAGGCAGTATGTCTAGGGCATATGAAGACAGATTGGCAATGGCAAAGGATAAAATGGGGGTTTTCCCCTGCAGGGATCGTATCCCGCAGGCCTAGTGGGTTCCATGTTGAAAGCTATGGGAAGCCATTGAAAAGAGTTTAAGCCAGAAAAGTTTAAAAAATGACATTTTGAAAGAAAGGGTTAATTGTACCTACCTTAAAGGAAATCTTAATCCAGCTGGGGAGTAGAGAAGCTCAACATCCTTTTCTCACAAAAAGAACTCTCCAGAGATCAACACGATTACATTTAAATTGCATATTGGATGTCCACAGGGCCCCAGACACTACAGGAGGTGAAATGATGAGGAGACAGGCTCCCTCCCTTAGAGAGGTTTTGGTCCACTAGAGAGTGTAGGATATGTGTTCTGTTACTTGTCATAATGTCGCAAGTTCTAGAGCATGGATTTCCAAGGCTTTATTGTATTATGATGATCGTGGAAGAAAACACTTTCTAAGAGATCTACCTCAAAATCACTGATGAAGCAGTATTATTTCGTAGGCTTCTTGTTGCTGTAACGGAAAGCTCAGTAGGGAATGTATCGGCTTATAAAACAAAAAATTCCAGACAAGTGCTGGCTTTAGACACAGCTTAGTTCTTGGCGTGCATCTATTAGGTTCCAGCTGCATCCATCTCTGCCTTTTCTTCCTCTTGCTCATCATTCTCCACTTCTGTGTGATGGTCCTTCAAGTTCAGGCTCTTGACATCACACCAGATTCCCAGTGAAAGACTCTTGGATTAGTCCGTACAAGCAAGCCTGGGAATCACTCTCTCTCTCTGGTTTGCGCAGTTCAGTGGCTGAAGCAGAGAATGGATGTCTCAGCCATGGGGCCACTGAGGAGCCCCACTCCCAAATACATAGACCAAGGATGGTTCCACTGGAGTCAATGGTAAGGTGCCTTTGGGACTTCTCGTGAAAGTTATTTAACAGACAGCAACTGGTCAGCACCAAAGGTAGTACGGTGATCCATTTGTATGGACAGGCCTGAATTGATTCATTTGTTGAGTGTAGGGAATGGAGAGAAGGTCAAGGACTGATCACTGGAGAACTCATAGGTGGTGAGGTTTGGAAGAAAAAGAGCTATTGAATGAGCTGTAAAGAGGGTACCCAGATGGGGGGTTGAACCAGGAGAGTGTTGTCATGGCAGCCTGGCAGGTGTGAACTGAGAAGACATTATTGAAGCTGGCAGTGTGGACATCACTGAAGACCCAGGAGAAAGTAGCCTTAGTAGAGTATTGGGGAGAGATGCCAGGGGGCCAGGAGTTGAAGAATAAATGGGAACTATCAGAGTGGGTATGTACAGTACCATTGTAAACATTTGGAGGGAAGAGGAAAAAGAAAAGATAGCATTGGAAGAGCACAGATCTCAGAGAAAGCAGTTTGTAGGAGAGTGGATTTTGATTCACTGTTTACACTGCAGAGAATTGCGATGGGGAGGACAAGGAAGAAGAGATAGGGAATGATGACTCAAGAAAGAAAGTGACAAAGTATTTTAGAGGAAATAGGAAGGAATATGACCAAGGGTACACAGATACAATAGGTAGTCTGGGAAAGGAGAAGAAATACTTTATTTTTTGCAGCTCTATTGACATATAAATGACATACAACAAACTGTGTGCAATTTGATGAGTATTGACATACGTACATAACTGTGGAACCACTGCCACTCTCAAGATAACAGACATGTCCATCATCCGAAAGTTTTTTTTTTTTTTGTAATCTGGAAACCACTGTATTGTTTGTTTGTCTGTTTGTTTATATTGAAGTATAGTTTATTTACAACATGTTAGTTTCAGGTGTACAGCAAAGTGATTCGGTTTTATGTATTTATATTCTTTTTCATTTTATATATAGTGGTTTGAGTAGTTTGTATCTTTCCATCCCAAACTCCTAATTTATCACCCCCCCCTTTTCCTTTGGTAACCGTACGTTTGTTTTCTTTGACCGTGAGTCTATTTCTGTTTTTGTAAATAAGTTCATTTGTATCATTTTTTTTAGATTCCACATATGTAAGTGATATGATATGGTATAATATTTGTCTTTCTCTGTCTGATTTACTTCACTTAATATGATAATGTCTAGGTCCATCCATCTTGCTGCAAATGGCATTATTATTTCATTCTTTTTTATGGCTGAGTAATATTCCATTGTATATTATATATAACAGTATGGAGATTCCTTACAAAACAGAGTTACCATATGATCCAGTGATCCCACTCCTGAGCACATATCCAGGAAAAACTATAACTCGAAAAGATACACGCACCCCTCTGCAATCTTCCCTCTCCACCTCTGTCTCATTCCCAGGAACCAACTGATTGGCTCCTGTAGCTTAGTTTTCAGTTTCTAGAATTTTCTATCAGTGACATCAAACATCATATGCTCTTTGTTTTCTGGCGTCAGTCACTTAGCATCATGGTTCACAGATTCATCCATCTCGTTGCATGCATCAGTAGCCTACTCTTTGCATACCATTACGTAGAATGTGCCACAATTTGTTGATCCATTTACCTGTGGATGGGCATTTGAGTTGTTTTCCATTTGGGGCCACAAAAAAAATGGCCAACATTACAAATAAGGGCTCCCATGAATATTTGAAAACATTTCAATTTTGAAACAGAAGAGAAGTGTCATGGTCCATTCTGGCTGCTGTAACAAAACACC